TTTCTCAAATCGAGCCGAGACGTCACACAGACAGGCCCCTCCCACAATAGTTTGATTGACAGTAGCGTTTCAGCACAGACTGGACTGGTGTTTTACCTTAGCTCCGCCCTGAGTGAGCTGTCATCAGTCCGCCATTGTTTCACCGCGGAGCAGATGTAGACAAGAATGACTCCTAAGCGACTGTGGTGTTCTGTTGTTGGATGCAATAATGAACATAGCAGCCGTCATTTACTCCCGACATCTGAGCCGCTGAAGACGCAGTGGATTACGTTTGTTTTTGAAGGGAATGCGCCCCCCGATCTACCTAAATGCGTTTATGTTCACGCGAATCATTCGTGATCCAGCTTCACCTACAGAAGAAGTGAGTTTAAGGTTTTTTAATTAATCTTTGCAAATCGCCTTTCCTAATAATGTGCTAATTAGCAAGTTTCACGATGAATGCGGCTAAAGTAAACAGTCCCTCAGAGAGCAGCTCGGAAGAGAAGGGCGGGGTCAGCAGAGCTCATTAACATTTAAAGGAAAGTGCTACAAAACAGCTTGCTCTGAAAAGAGCTGTTTTTGACAGGGTAAAAAATTTTTTTTACACTACCATTGAGAAATTTTAACCAAACTATGTTACAGACTTTTCATTAAGACCCGAAAGAATCATATCAACTTGTGGAAAATGGGCATCCGATGACCCCTTTAAAATCCCCCGTTTTTATGACTCAACTTTGAAATTACGTTGACAAGCATTCAGCTTCTGTCTCATTTAATGAACAGAACTGTCTAAAGATGTAACAAATACGTTTTCCTGTAATGTCAAGTCCTAGACATGGTCATGATCATTTTCAACATCTGCTTTAGGACAAAACAGTACAGATGTATAAATATAATCGCACCCTTCAGTCATGCATGAAAACACTTCAAACTATACAAAAAAACCCTTCAAATGATATTTGAGAAATAAATAAGTTACTAATAGAATAATTACCGACCTATAATTCTGCATAACACATAAAGACATCTGAGACTGTTCACTTGAGTAAACACAAACACAGATAATGAAGATCTGACATTATTGGCAGTATCTTCAGATTTCAGAGCACAGTATACCATTTGAAGCAGATAATTACTATAATTCCTACACGATTATGTCCAACTAATATAGTGAAAATACACTTTTGAGGTAAAGTGAATGTATATCCTATTCAACCCACAGAAACAAATGACACGTCAGCATCAGTCCTTATAAATGTGTTTCCCTTCATGTTACTTTGGCTTCCAAAAGGTTACTAATGGAAAGTAACTAATGCAAATATAACGAAATGCTCATAGTGCACTACCAGCATTAAAAAGTACTCTACAAGAAAAACTAAAGGTGTAACATTTCAAAATGTCAAAAGTGTCGGTGTGTAATGGCATTCGACAGATCCTTGGACTTCACTGTCTTCTTATGATTGCATTAAAAATATAAAGAACAGCATTCTTCCCTGGAGTTTTAGATTAAAATGCACTTTGGGTTTTGTCAGCAAGGCAAGACAGACAGGAAGTGTACGTCGAGAGAGAAAGATGGGAAAGGGAAAACAAAAGAGATGCAGTGTGGAAGATAAAAGGAGAAGAAATGAATTGTCACAGATAGTGGAGAGAAAATGTTGGAGAATTTCTTCAACCAGTTCGGGCCACCTAAAGAGGAAGAGGCATTCTGTCAGTTATATCAATTATGCATGTGAGAATATGCACACACTACATGATGAACAAAAATTCATGATCATGTGAAGACAACATTTTCTGTATTCATTTGAAATACAAAAATAATACCGTTTGAAATACTGTTTTTACCTGGGAAATGCTGACCCCAGTTAGTTTCTCAATGGTTTCGGGCAGTCTGGTCATGATGTCAAGCACTTCACCTGTCAGCTTGGCTGCACCGATCTCTGAACCTCCACTGGAAACCATGGTGACCTTATTGGTAGCTGACAGGGGCTTACTGATCTCCTCTGCCATCTAATGGATAGAAAGAACACAATTTACCATCAATATAGGACGTCAACTCAAACTGCTTTTTTCTCGACGCAGGATCATCTCTTGCAAGATGATTACTATTTTTGCAGTACAATGCAATATTTTTCTATATTGCCTACACCAGGGATCCTCAAATCTGGCCCATGAGATCCACTTTCCTGCAGAGTTTAGCTCTAACCCTACTCAAACACACCTGAGCATGCTAATCAATGTCTTCAGGATCATTAGAAAATCACAGGTAGGTGAGTTTGATCGGGGTTGGAAATAAACTCTGCAGCACTTTGGCCCTCCAGGGCAAGATTCGAGGAACCCTGGCCTACACATTAGAAAAAAAACAACATTACAAATAACTGTCTCACCAGCGGCAGTTTCTCCAGCAGCATGTCCACCATCGCTCCTTCCTTGTAGTTCTGGAAGGCCTCGGCCTTCTTCGCCATCTGCTCGGCCTCGGCACGACCTCTAGCCTCCACAGCGTATGCTTCGGCCTCTCCTCTCATCTGCAGAGACACAGTATGTATAACACAAACTGTTTTGTTTTGAATATAGTCAAGAAGATGGCTGATCACTTACTTTGATAGATTCGGCCTCAGCTTCTGCCTCCATGATTAGCTGAAGACTGTTGGAGAGCACAAAATGGCCAGATGGTGTCAGAGATATAATTCTTTACAGTCAAACCTTATATGTTTTCATATATGTGATCCTGGACCACAAAACCAGTCTTAAGTCACTGGGGTATATTTGTAGAAATGGCCAAAAATACATTGTATGGGTCAAAATGATTGATTTTTCTTTTATGACAAAAATCATTAGGATATTAAGTAAAGATCATGTTCCATGAAGATATTTTGTAAATTTCCTACTGTAAATATATTAAAACGTAATTTTTGATTAGTAATATGCATTGCTAAGGACTTCATTTGGACAACTTTAAAGGCGATTTTCTCAATATTTAGATTTTTTTTTGCACCCTCAGATTCCAGATTTTCAAATAGTTGTATCTCAGCCAAATATTGTCCGATCCTAACAAACCATACATCAATGGAAAGCTTATTTATTCAGCTTTTGGATGATTTATAAATATCAATTTCGAAAAAAAAAGACCCTTATGACTGGTTTTGTGGTCCAGGGTCCCACCTATTGATTTAAAAATCTTAATCAAAGCTGAGCCATTTTTGCAATTCCGTATGGTGACATTAGTGCGGAAATGACACACTTCACTTTTTAAAGGGGTCATATGATGCTATTTTAAAGATCATTATTTTTTGTATTTGCAAAGCCCCCTCCTTTGACAAGCGCAGTCTGCTCTGATTGGCCAGCTGACCCAGTGCATTGTAATTGGCCGAACACCACACGCACGCGTTGGAAATGTAACGCCCCTTACCATAATCGCGAGCTTCTAGCTTTCAAAGTAAATATCAAGACCGTTAATAATGTCGTTAGTTTTACCATCAGTTCAAGCCTGAAAGGGCAACACAGTCGCGTGACAGACACAGTGATGATGCAGTACACAAGCCGCGGTTAAGACAGCTGACGTGCTATGATTTCTGACAGGCAGTTCACTCTCCTGTGATGTGACCCTGTTCCCCTCACACACACACACACACACGAGACGCGTTACTCTGCACTGCGCAAAACTCCGCATTTGAACAGTCAATAGCAAATAGTTAAACTAATAACAAAACATACTTGCAGTCGCTGATTCAGAAGCGCCAGATTGTCATAGCAAAGTCGTTGACCTTTTTTTTTTTTTTTTTTTAGAAATAGCCTTTGTGCACAGCCAGCCTTGTACTCTTCTAGGTTAAAAAAATCGTCCATAAAAATGTGTTGCACAAATTTGAACATCTGGGTTGTGCTGTTCTGTTGTAAATAAATCTTAACCAATGATTCCTAATTGCATCTACTTCCGGAAGGCCAAATAAAGTGCTTTTGCTTTCGCACTGAATCACACAGCGTCTCCCTGACATGCTGCATCAACACTACTGCTGTTCCTGAAACCACGCCTTCTTTCTTTGCGTGCACATTTGGGCGGCATTATGCTAATATTTCCACATAGTGACGTAGACATGTGGGGGCGTGTTAGAACGAGCCGTTTTAGGCAGGGATGGCTGACTCTTAACTTTTATAAAGAATATCTCTTTGGAATTGAGACTTTAGTCTTTGCAACTTTACAGATCTTCTTTATGCACCAAGAGCTTGTAACACTCCAAAGAGAAAGGAAAACTTGAAATCGCATCATATGACCCCTTTAAGACAAAAGCAATTGGTGAATATTTGTGGAACATAACCTTCACGTTATATGGGATTTTAAAACCAACAGGGATCTCACCGTTCGGCTTCCGCCAGTTTCTCCAGTCGGTATCGTTCGGCCTCGGCTGGTTTCTTGACTTTGGCCTCCAGCTCTTTCTCCTTGCGTGTGATCTCCTGTTCTTGCAGCATGATTTGCTGCGAGCGCTCCACCACCATCACCTGCATCTTCTCCTCCTCGATCTGCTGCTTTGTCTTCGCCACCTAATGCAACAGTTACACAGGAGGATGAAAATTTACTGAATAAATGTAAGTAAATTTAAATTATTTTTTTACCCACAAAACCATGTCACACAGTTATGTTTCTAAAATAGGTATAACTATATGGAAGCCCGTTTCTGCCACTAAATAAAAAATTAATTAAGGTAATTGTGACTTTTTTATCTCGCAATTCTGACTTTATTACTCGCAATTGCGTGCTATAAACTCGCAATTGCGAGTTATAAAGTAAAAATTGCGAGTTATAAACTTTTTTTTTTTCCTCACAATTGCGAGTTCATATCTCGCAATTCTGACTTGATCACTCGCAATTACCTTGTTTTATTTTTTATTCAGTGGCGGAAACGGGCTTCCATAATTAAAGGGACAGTTCATCCAGGTATGTATTTTTTTTCTTCCGCTGAACACAATACAAGATATTTTAGATTGTTGATAACCATGGTGATTCCATGGTACTTTTTGTCCATACAGTGGTAATCAATGGGAACCAAAACTGTTAAACAGAATAAAGAAAGTCAAACAAGTTTGGAACGACATAGCAGGAGAGTAAATGATGACAGAATTGAAATTTTTGAGTGGACTTTTGCTTTATCAAGAACCCCAAGGAAAAATTAAATAAAGTCTTTCACAATGTTGAAGGTGACAAAAAGGTTTGGTTGTAGTTCTACCTGGAGCTGATAGGCCATTTCAGACTCCGCATTTTTGGTGAAGACCTCAATGTCGTAGACCGCCTTCTTTAGCTCGTAGTCTCTCTGAGCCTTAGCCATCTCGATCTCATTCATGTACTGAGCAGATACCTTCTCCTGTATAGCATTGGCCTCCTACAGAGAGAAGAAAGAGAGAAATGAGAGGGATGTTAACAAAAATGCTCCGTGATATTTAGAAAATAGGCTGTATATGGAACAGAGTTCAGGAAAGGCTCACCCTGATCACTGCATCTCTTTTGTTCTTGGCTTCTCCAATCCGCGCATCCTTCTGCACTTGTGCCGTACGGGCCTTTCCCAAAGAGTGCAGGTAATCCTGAAAGCAAAAGACTTGATTCACCGCTCTCACAGATCCTTTCTTATACATTTAAAGCATTTTAAATATCAAGGGACAGATTTACTAACAGCTCGAGCCAACACTAACCCCCTTTTGCTGTTAAAAAAACACTACTGTCAGGATTTACTAAAGAGACGAAGTGAAACATTAGTGATGAAAAGGACACGTTATTTTTTGCTAACCTTACTGTAAGTTTTCTTTTTTAAATGTATAGGAGAGTATTTAAATGAATCATGCTATGTGATTTACTAAGGTCTGCGGTAGTCCGTTTACTAGTATTTGCACCATTATTTAACACCCAGAAAAAAGCATGTCTTAACCAATTTTGCACCTGTGTTGTTAGTAGATTAGCTGCACATGATTATCATCGGCTACATGTTTGCAACACTACGCCTATTTGCGCTGCTCTTGGTAGATTGCAGTGGTCATTATGAAGACTGCATTGTCAGGAAATCATCTGCAGAACCTTCCACTTCCATCTGTGCTTTTATGGGATTGTGCTCTCACGCTAATTTGCCTTGTTTAATAAGTCGATAAACACAACACCACAAATGTGACCCTGGAGCACAAAAGCAGTCTTAAGTTGCTGGGGTATATTTGTAGCAATAGCCAAAAATACATTGTATGGATCAAAATTCTTGATTTTTCTTTTATGCCAAAAATCATTAGGATATTAAGTAAAGATCATGTTCCATGAAGATATTTTGAAAATTTCCTACCGTAAATATATCAACTTAATTTTTGATTAGCAATATGCATTGCTAAGAACTTCATTTGGACAACTTTAAAGGCGATTTTATCAGTATTTAGATTTTTCTGCACCCTCAGATTCCAGATTTTCAAATAGTTGTATCTCGGCCAAATATTGTCCGATCCTAACAAACCATACATCAATGGAAAGCTTATTTATTCAACTCCCAGATGATGTATAAATCTCAATTTCAAAAAATTGACCCTTATTACTGGTTTTGTGGTCCAAGGTCACAAATGGGCCTAACAGACCTGGTCATCATGAACGTCTTTGAGTGTGTAGCTGACCACGCTGATGCCCATGTTGACAAGGTCGGATGAAGCCACCTTGAACACCTGCTCGGAGAACTTCTTGCGGTCTTTGTAGATCTCCTAAAGAACAAACACAAAACCCACTTGCTTAGTTCCTTATTTGTAAAGAATTATCAAAGTCCCCATGCTCAATGAAGTCGATATACTATGCTGAGGACTGAAAGTGCAGGTTTTAAATGCTATATCTAGATTTACAGCTGTTTGTGATGTTGCAGAACAGTACATTTGAAAGGTGAGCATTATCTGTGCATTTAACTGTCTATTTACCTCCACAGTCAGGTGAGCAATGATGGCTCTCTGGTGACCCTCCAGTGTTTCCAAGGCGATGTGGGCAATCTCACCCTCTGACTTTCCCAGAAACATCTGACATGCTGCAGCCAACATCTGCTTATTCTGCCCTTGAATCTTCATCTGTTGGAGAGAGAAGGTTCAGTTAAGCCGCATAACAATCAATGATTTTTTTTTTTTTTACAGAAAAGTTATTAAAGACAAAGTATTTCATAAAGACAGAGTAGCACAACAATCTGGGACAGAAAATAGTTTTATTGACAGCCAGTTCTGATTTCTGAAACCCATATGAAATCTTGTTTACTGCATATTAGAGTCTGAGATAGTTAACCTGTGCGATTCCAGTGACCGAGACGGGCACTCCATGACGTGTGTAGACTTTATCACTCTTTACATTCAGCGTCAGTGTGTTCAAAGAGATCCTGTGATGGAAGAGAGAGAAAAAGCTGAGATTTGTTAATGCAAACCATGCATACATATATATACACAAACACAGAGAGTGAATAATACCTTTGTATCTGCTGAATGCATGGGAAAACAAACACTCTCCCACCAGAGATCATGACTGGTGGAGAGCGGCAGAAACCTGAGACAGGAGTCACATCACACACGTGAACATGTTTTCATGATTTCTACTGAAAATATCTCTCTAATGTATTTCTGTGATGTTTAGTCTTACCCGACACCACCATTGCTTCATTGGGGCCGCAAGTGTAAAACATTTTCACACTATGGAGAAACCAGAGGAATGGAAGAAGTAGACCACTATTAAAATCACTTGAGAACTATATGCGGAGGGGAAAAAGCAATCAGTATGGATTAATTTCTTAATATCTCACATAACAACAACTGCATTATTCTGCTCTTAGTCATTTTAAAATAAATTTCCATTCTGATTGCAACAGTCAAGTGTGTGTGTGTGTGTGTGTGTGTGTGTGCGTGTGCGCGGGGACTTAAACCTGACTACACACAGACTCATGGGGACTCATGTCACGGTGGGGACCTAAATTGTGGTCCCCACGGGTACAAAAGCTTATAAATCATACAGAATTAAGTTGTTTGAAAATCTAAAAATGCAGAAAGTTTCCTGTGAGGGGTAGGTTTAGGGGTAGGGTTGGTGTAGGGCAATAGAATATACGGTCTGTACAGTAGAAAAACCATTACGCCTATGGAGAGTCCCCACAAGGATAGCTGACCAGAAGTGTGTGTGTGTGTGTGTGTGATGTGTGTTTTTTCTATGGTGGGGGGGCCTTAAACCTGAATACACACCAACTCATGGGGACTTGTGTCCCCATGGGTACAGAAGCTTATAAATCATACAGAATGAGTTTTTTTGAGATTGTAAAAATGCAAAAAGTACAAAACATGCTGAAACGCCGAAAGTGAAAATATCTTCTTTATAGATGGGTCAAATTACTCAAATAAATTAAGTAAACTAAAACAAATCTATTCAAAACGAATTCTATTAAAATATGTATTTACAGTGTATACAAAAAATGCACAATATCTTACAATCCGCATCATAAACCCAGTAATGCCTTTAAGTAGTATCGATTGATTGATGCGTGTTCGCTTCTGGCAAACGGTTGGGCTTGTGGTAGCTTATTAAATACACGTTTACCGAGGAATTTCTGGAGAAAAAGCATCCAAGTCCATTAACTTATTAAAGGGTCCTAACTAAGTGTGACAGATTGTAAAATACGAGCATCTCTCCCGTTGTTATTCAGAAATAGCTTTGATTTAAATACATATTGCTTACATTTACGATTTTTTTAAATGGGCTATTGCGTTTATTTTTATTTATGTATTAATTTTGGACGGTGGAGATGTCTAAGCGCGCAGCGTGCATTAGGAGGTGCCCTATAATTACATTAGTATAATAATATTAAAACCAAGTACATTTTGCCTGTTATTTTAGCCTACTGAAGCAACATCATCAGACTGCACTGTCCTGGTAGACGTAAAGTCAAAACGTAAGAAATAACAAATAAAAATAACAACGGCGCCTACAAATTCGCAATATTGTATCGGGCAGTGAAGGGAATGAATCGAGTGTTTACATCCAGCACGACAACATAAAAGCTATTGGAACGGACTGCACAGGAAAATAATTGTCAGAAAAACTCTTACCGTTGGGTGAATGGATAGAAAATATTAATCGAGTTGATAATAGCACGATATCTGGGTTATTTTCAAAACGGCGTAAGGGCGCAGTAATCCGGCAGGCTGTAACTAGTAGCAGTGGATGATGATGATGGTGATGGTGATGATGGCGCCCCGCCCGGATCACACAGCCGGACTGGCGCCATCTCATGGAGCACTTCTTCCCAATGTGTGGAGCCCGCATCGCTGGAGGTCTGTGGCCCTATATAGGCTAAATAAATTGAAATCAGTTTCAGATGCCATTTGCGGTATTGGGAGTACAGTAACGCGATAATCGTTGAATCCCATCACCACCTCAAATTGACAATGCAACCAAACATCACATTTGGTTGAAATAGGGTCTGTTCTTACAGAAGGTTTTTTTTTCGCATTTCACTGCGCTTTACACTATATTTATAGGTAAACATGCACTACTGTCTTTGACAGTTGCTCTTTTTTATTGCAGAAATATAATTCAATACAAAAGAAACAAATATTACAGAACATATGGGGGAATACAGAGGAGAGAGGGGGAAAAAACAAATGACAATTTACTAATAAACCGTTCTACGAGATGTCTTCAAAGCTATGTTATTAGAGGAGACTTTTTGAAGTGATGACAATAATAAATGTAGATCAGAAGCAAATATTTTGCAGCTGGGTTTAAATTGAAGGTATCTAGCTTTATGGTATTTACATCATAAAGTTTAAGACATCATCAAACTACTTATTGTCAGAAATATCAGAATGGAAAAGAACCTTACTGATGGAAATACTACAGAGATGCTGCAACAAATAGTGAATGTGATATTTGAAGCCAGAATTGTTTAGAATAATAACAGAAATAGAATCAATGTGAAATAGATTCTTCTTCTTTTTTTGGTTATTTTATGGTTAAATTGACTTAGATACTTATTAGGGTAATAATGATGAATGATTTTAAAGACAGTTGCTCTTGTGTCTTTTGCAGCCTGTCGCGCATTAAGTTGAACTATTTAAAAAAATAACCTGTACGTAATAATGGCATTTAAACATGGCTGAACATGGAACAAGTATGGATTTGAACACAGTGCATTTGCGAATTGTATATCTATGTGGCTTTTGCTGCATAGTTTGATGTCATATCCTCCTGGGACCCAGGCATATACTTTTGTCCTCTATGGAAGATATTATATTTTAGTGAATTTCTCTGAGATCCTACATGCCACAGTTTTATCATAAACACACCTTCTCCTTGGTCTTTAAAAATGACTGATATTGACAGAATTATCAAATTTAGCACTCTTAGGGAAATATGATAATACTTTGTAATTATCATTTAAATCTGACTAATTTTCAAATTGTTTGTCGTAAAAAAACATCTCAGAAAAATGTTATGGGGTTTCAAATCAGAATATGACTTTTTATTATGAAACGGGGCATAGTTTTCATACATGTCTTCAGTAGAGGACACCAGGACAAACATAATGTTAATCAGACATTTTGGGGAAACACAATAAGTCAATAGGGAAAGAAATTATAGACCAATATTCCTATGAAATATGAGATATTCTACTCTTTTTCAACATTTATTCAACATTTATATATGAAAATGTTGCCATGTTATTACTCCCATTATAACACTTCTTTTTTTTTTCATTATGGTTTGCCCTAAGAACAAATTAATATGCAAATTAGATGCAATTTATGACAGGGAGATACCAATTTTGCACATATTGCATAAAGTAAAATAGTATATCAAATCATTCTGTTATATCTCATCAACATAGTTGAGAATCATCTTTGTACAAAGTTTGGTAGCCTGAAACCTAAAAACAATTGATGAATGAAAAAATAAAACATTGTTTAACATCATGTTAATCAATCATTTTGGGGAAACACAACAAGTCAATAGGGAATGAAATTACAGATCGATATTCCTTTGAATTATGAGATATTCTTATGAAAATTTTGCCAAGTTATTACTCCCATTATAACACTTCTTTTTTCCATTATGGTTTGCACCAAGAACACATTAATATGCAAATTAGATGCAGCGTATAGATACATTGAATAAAATAGGAATATTAATTTATGGAAATTTTACACACATATTGCATAAAGTAAAATAGTACATCAAATCATTCTGTTTTATCTTTAATAACATAGTTGAGAATCATCTTTTTTTTACAAAGTTTGGTTAAAAATAGCCTGAAACATAAAAACTGATTGGGGAATGAAAAATATAAAACATTGTTTTTGCCTATACATGCCTTTTCATGTCTGTTTATTTTTTTGAATGACTTAGTCCTGGCATCCTCTACAAAGGGCATAGAATAAAATATGAATAAAAATACCTTTTTTCAAAAAAAAAATTTCTCCATTTGTTTCTTATGCTCCTAAAACATTGTTTTTGCCTATACATGCCTTTTCATGTCTGTTTATTTTTTTGAATGACTTAGTCCTGGCATCCTCTACAAAGGACATAGAATAAAATATGAATAAAAATACCTTTTTTAAAAAAAAAAATTTCTCCATTTGTTTCTTATGCTCCAACCAATGTAATGACATAAAAAAACAACAAAATTCAAAACATTTTAATGGTTCTTAGGAGGATATAGCAAATTGTAAATTGTATGCATTGGATTTAGATGCAATGTTTTTGTAAACAGAATACAGCTAATCGTTTTACCTTGACAGGGAAAATATTTTGTGGAGCATTTGCTGATTGCTATATTATGCTTCTTGAATTTTGGAACCTTGGAATCACCTGTATCTTGGTGATTCTGTGAAATGTGTGTATCCAATTGAAAATACTGTGTCAGCGGCATGGCACAGTTTGACTTATTTTATTAATAATAATAATAATAATAATAATAGTGTATTATTATTATTAAAAAGTAAAAGTGTCACGGGGTTTAGAAGACAGGTAGAGCTGGGTGTCATCGGCATAGCAGTGAAAGTGAATACCATATTTCCTGAAAATGTGACCAAGCGGGAGTAAGTAGATAATGAATAGAAGCGGGCCCAAAACAGAACCCTGAGGAACACCAGTAGTAACTGTAGATGATCTCGATCGTAAGTGGTTAAGTTGGACGAACTGAGTGCGACCAGAGAGATATGACATAAACCAAATTATTCTTTGAATGAAAGTGATAACTCACACTGCCTTTCTGTTTTGCAGCTGCTCAGTGAGAAGACATGCAGAATTCTCTCCTTCTCCTCATGTTTGGTGCCAGAATATGAATACTGATGTTACCATTGCCTCCAGCTTCTCTTCATAAGAAAATATCAGATTTTTATCTAATATCCAAAGTTATTCAAACTCATTGCAAGTTAACTTTTCTGTAGCCAAGAGGCAGATAGAAAGGAAAAGCAAAAGGCAGAAAATGAAGAAATTAGCAGTTTTTTGAATAACCCTATTTGTATAAACAGAAACATACTTGTTTTTATAACAAGCAGACATGATGGGAACTTTCTGCTTCTTAACATTATCTATTGAAGACCCTGAAGGGAAACGTCTTATCTTGAGTTGTAGAGGCGATACAGACAGATATTTTTTTTCATCAGTTACAGTTCAGGCTTGCACAGATTAATGAAGCTTAAATGTTATTCTATGCACAACAAGGTTATACAACATTAGAAAACATGACAGTGAACATGAATCAATATAAATAAAATCTGTAATATACGAATATATGAAATGTGTATATGTAGGATAAGTAAATACAAATAAGGGAAACAATGTCAAAAGCTAAAAGGGTCTCTTAAGCCATAAAACCCCAAAGATCATGCATGATTCTATGCAGACGCTACATGCATCATAGTATAATAGGAATATTTGTGAGGTTGCAGAAGCTTATTCAACAATTCTTGCTTGTTAACACACTCTAAAAAATGCTGGGTTAAATATAACACAGCGCTGGGTTAAAAAGGGACAAACCCAGCTATTGGGTTGTTTTGACCCAGCAG